CATACGGATTTAATGCAATGGATTAAAAGAGAGTATAGTAATGCTGTGAAAGCGAGGTAACAAGACGCGACTAGTCTGTAGGTCAAAAGGATGATTGGGCATATTGATCCCTTCGTTTGTCCAGATGAAACATCACACACACGCACGCGCACATACGCGCGCGCTCTCGCGCGCGTGTGCGCTATACGTCATTTATCTACTCAAGGGAAATATGCTTTCAAGAGCGCAAGCGGACATACAAAGATGTATATTTGTGTCGGTTTGAGGAGTTTCAAAAAGGCTAAAATTAAAAAAACTTGGTGAGGGGATTGTATCCGATGTTTAATTTGGGGGATGAGGGTGGGGGAAGAGATCTTATTCTGGGATAGGGGTTGTCTGTACCCTATCCAATTAAACGTCAGATGTTTCCGTTAATTCTTTTCCTCAATGGCTTAGTGTTTTGGGTGTGGGATCCCACAAAATGAGCACAATCTTTTGGCATTATTTTCTAATAACGATTTGAAATCAAGAAGCTGACGACAATGATATATCCTTTTAACTTTCAATATAATAGATATTAGGACAGAGGCCATTTTTGGAAAAGATATCGAGGTATGCATTCATTGTGCACACTTAATGCGCACTAGAAAAAGTAGTTAATGTAATGCTAGCAATATGCTCCCACCCCAGTATGTGTTTAATGAGTGGACTTGACTCTTAGACTATTCCCATGAAAGATCAAATATACGGGTCAAAAGCGTGAGCAAATTTGTACGGAAATATAATTATAATTGCTTGCACGTGATATTCGTGGATGATTATTATTAATTAACCTCCAGCATCGATATCAGTAGCATTATAACCTGTTATAGTCTCATTTAGCGCAAGAAATATTCTCCTTTTGGCAAACACAGAACACTCGATATCTTTTATAAACAAATTTAACATTCTTGACGACACTTGCGTACAATTAAAAAGCATATAATAAGTGAAGCAAAACATTTATATGCTTGGTTTTCTGAATTTCATCAAAGTCATTGACATCTTTTCACTTTATAGCATAATGAGAAATTGTCTGATCTCCTTTCGTGTTACAACAACCAGCATAATGAAACCTTTCGTGTTATAACAAACCAGCACAATGAAACCTTTTGTGTTATAACAAAATGACATAATGAAACCTTTCGTGTCATAACAAACCAGCATAATGAAACCTTTCGTGTTATAACAAACCAGCATAATAAAACCTGTCGTGGTTTAAAGGTTTATAAAGGCCTTTTTAAAAATAAAAAGAAATGAAATCATAGCTAGTATGATGGTATCTAATAAATCAACCTACATTGTTTAGTTATTTCAACTCATTTATGTTTTAATGTATTTACAGTGAAAACGAAGGCCCTCAATAGTTGGGGGTCTTTCTTTTGAAGGGGACTGAGAGAGTGTGCGCGAGTATTTAAATCCTTTTTAAAAAAAAAACAGGAATAGAAAAGTATTCAACTGCATTAGACTTTTTTCTCTTTTCATCACATTAATAATATTGAACAATGTTGTGCGTCTAGCGGCAGAAACTCTTTTATAAAGGAAGTATTTGAACTCCAGTATAAAGAGATGCACGTTAAACAGAAATTAAATCAGCGATTTATTTATTTATATTTTTTGGTTGATCTTGACAGTTGTCTGTGCCGCCTATTCATTAGATATTTTAAGAGGTAATTCTAGGCTTGGGGTTGTGTAAATCTTTATTTTAATTGCAATATTTAGCTAAAGTTTTGGATAGATTATTGCATTGTATTGTAATAAAAACCCACAACTATAACACTTGTTTCTAATATTTTGTTAAAAGTTTTCCACGAGAGTCGCTGAATAAAATTAACTATTTTTAAAAAAATAAGCTAAAAGTACTTGCCAACAACTTTTTGTAAGAGATTTTGTAAGAGATTTGTCACATCTTTGATAAAATTAATTGTAATTTGCATGGATTAATTTTTATTTTTAATATTCCATGAATTTGCATTTGACGATTGCATTTCAAGCACAAGTAACAAGCTTACAATAAGGAAATTGTCAATAAATATTTGGTCAAATGAGTCTCGATATATTCCTCATGTAACTTAGCGACAGAGTTTACTGGCCTCGCAAATTTAAATATGCATATTTTATGCAAATTCCATTCTCTTTGTTAACCATGTTGCCAGGGTAATATAAGGTAGTAGCAGAGACGTCTATTACAACAACTTATACCGGTCGGTTGTGTTGTGGTCACGTGTGGTATTGATTCCCAGCTGTTGCCAATTGTAAACAGTACCCTATGTACCGTATACACCCAACGTTCACTAGAAATTTACTCAGATGTTAAAATTAAATAATTGTATGGTAGTATTATAGAACAGTAAACGACGGTCAAAGAAAGAAAGAAAGACACACAGAATAAACCAGAAACAATTGGGCATTATAAGACCAACAAGCGTTTTTATAACATAGTTTGACTTTATAGATCCTAAAAAATAACCTTTGAGGAATAGACAATAAGCTTTGTTATTATATTTTCAGCAAGTAAAAAAAATGCATGCATTCATAAATTAGACTTCAAGTAAGCAAACAGCATGAAGAAATAAATTACTTAATAATGCCGTTAGAGTGGGTTGCGGTAGGTGGATAGTGGCATTTGGAGCTACGGTACACAACGCACCTGCCGTTTGGAACGACAATTAAGTAGCCATCAGCGAGTCAGGTGTTGTCGAGGCACGCGTCGAGTGCAGGCCACGCGAACAATGAAAATGCCTAGTCGACAGCTGTTTCTAAGGTTTACACTACGACCACTCTTTGGTGAACACAATAGGTTAGGGACGATGAACGGTAAATCTGGCGCTACCTAAATAATTGGTCAAAATTGACACTAAGCAGTACATATTAAATACAAGTGATTGATGGAGAGAGGTACTTTTTTTGTTTTCATTGTTGGTGTTTTTCGTCTTTTTCCCTATCGATTTAGAACAGTTTTTGACACCTTGTGAATTACATTATTTGTTTTGTAGAAAACGAGTTCCATTGCGTCATTTTTACCAATAACCTTCGCACAAGATTTATGCCTAATTAATTTCAAACTTACCCAGATATATTAAATTTATTGACTTATTATATTTGGATAACGACATTACAATCTTAAACTTGACTAGCTTGAAGGGTATTTTAAAGATTCTGATACTTAAAGTAACTTTTTTTGTTTTGAACATGTCATTTAATTTAATACCAATGACAGAAAAAAAAACAAGGTGGTATATTATATAGAGAATCTCAAATGGGTAATGATATAAAATTGAATTTATGAAACAAGTTGAATAATGTCCAGCTTTTGTGAGCCTTGGCCAGAATAACCTGGACATTATTCAACGAGTTTCGTAATTCAATATTAAATCGTTACCCATTTTGAGATTCTATTTATCACATAGTTTTTATTTCAGTGTAAATTATTTATATAGAAAGAAGAACGAATAATTTCGTTCATTCTGACAGACTGTGAGGTGAGCCTTTCATCTATCGTGCATAAAATATAGTCCCAAACAAAGCTGAACTTGTAAATGTAGGTTGTACTGTTTTACAAACATTAAATCAAAGACAAATAAACAGAACATTTTAGAACGACAAAATTATTTTTCAAAACAGATTGACGAATGCTATGTGATGCTACCAAACTGTTTGATACGGTACACAGTACAGTAAATCGACAGTAGAGTAAGTACATGTTAACGCTAAAATGTCACTTTCAGAACTAAACGTTAAGTTGTGGCAATTTTTATGTGGAATAGGATTACCGGAAGCAAAAAAATTCCTTCACATTAACTGCAATTTATTTGTGACCGGATATTTGCAGTATTTGATTTGAAACAATAGATTGTACAGAAGACGTAAACAAATTTATATTCGAGTCGGATTGCATCCCATATATACTGCGTAAAGATGGTGTGGTTGGATAAGGTTCTGTCAATTAGGAGAACCATTTATGTCCAAATTCTTTTGTAAACAGATGTGATTTTATTTACTTATTTAAGTTAACATTTAAACCACTCGTGTATATACGGTGGATTCTATATTTATGTTAGAGAAATACCCTCTCCGCTATCAAATAAGCATTACCCTTAGTTTTACTTCTTATAGTTGTTCATGTTTTGTACGCTATTTTTCTTATGATGATATTATAAAACATTACATAACAAACCCCTGTTGGAGTAAGATATCCATATTGTGAGAGCAAAGATAATTTTTCCTCAAATGTCACCAAAAATATGTTCATTCAAAACAAAACATTTCAGAAGGCGGGGTTGAAAACGTTTTAATGCGATACCAGGCGATCAGTAAATAGCATCGTGCACAATAATTTCATGGGATTATTTGGACCAAACAAAATCACATAAAGTGATATTTTAACGTGTGGTAATATTAAAAACATAAAACTGCACATACTGTCGGAAAACTATACGTTCTTTGTGATTAAAAAAAATATGAAGATGCAAATACAGGCGTGTGACGTAAGATAAATAATTGACGACGACGTCAAAATATCGAAGAAGACCGGAAGCTTTAAGGGTAATCTTCCACTTTTATTAAATCCATATCAATATCTCGTATATATATATATATATATATATATATATATATATATATATATATATATATATATATATATATATATATATATATATATATATATATATATATATATATGCATATAGATGCATTTATACTAGTTAATGTCTGTTGCTTCAATTTTTTTAAATACATAACTTTGTCAGTGTTTTGCATAATAATGAAAATTGTCTATACATGCTTGCATTCCTTTGATGGAGTTTGAAAGTAATGAAAGTCTCATCAGCTAGGTACATACATACATACATACATACATACATACATACATACATACATACATACATACATACATACATACATACATACATACATACATACATACATACATACATACATACATACATACATACATACATACATACATACATACATACACCGCTCCGGTGGCTTAGTGGTTAGAGCGTCCGCCTCTGATGTGGGAAGTCTTTGGTTCGGTCCCGGGTCGAGTCATACCAAAGACTTACAAAAATGGTACTAACAGCTGCCTCGCTTGACGCTCAGCATTAAGATGTTGGTGTTAGGACTGGTCGGCTTATTCTCAGGATAATGTGACTGGGTGGGGCATCATGCTACACGTCTGCGGCATGATGCTCAAGTGCAAGACATCATTGCCACACTGCCGACGTCGTAGTGATATGAATGAAAAATTGTTAAAACTACGTTAAAAATCATAATCATAATCACATTCATTTATTTCCTCCAAAGTTATTACATCATCAAATTTAATATTGACGTTTTTGTTTCCATGGCACAGTATCAAGAAAGAGTGAAAATTTTTGAAAGCCTTAGTTTCTCCTGATTTCCACACTCAATGTTTGATACGGTATTGGTTATTTACATGTACCATCAACTTGGTCCACGTAGCTAGGATAAACAATCTTTCTTTCAAGGTACGAGGTTTAGCTGATACAAGTACAAGAATGGGTAGTGCACAGTTCAAAAGTAGTTACATGGACAGAATAATTGACAAATCTACAAAATATAAGAGATATTTTATAAATCGCCTTCTTGAAATTCACATAAAGCTGATTACTCTTCTCAAACATAAAAATTAGGACATGATTTGCATCTTTAATAAACCGACCTACAGTGCCGTATTACCAATAGGCTGAGTAGGCACCGGCCTATGGGCCCCACGCTTGTTATGGGCTCGAGACAACGGATCAAAACAATATTGAATTGATTTGATCTTGACGTATTATAAGATAACTTGCGATGAACCCACTATCCGTATTTCAACGTTCTGGGTCACCCACAGGGTTTACAGCGTTTACGAAAGAAACCTGGCAATACTTCATTCCACAATGCTTCCGTATTTAATTCTGAAATATCGCTCCCTAATATTTCATGGACATCTGTGGTCCAATGATCATGTAATACAAGTACAAGCCAAAGGTATATAATATGTACAGCAGTAATAAATTCTAACAGAAGGAAACGTTAGATAACAGGCCCTTATAATCTCAGTGAAAAAGGGTGTAAGAACTCACGCACCTCTGCACACTTTCTCAGTCTCATTATCCAAGTACAAATGCCATTTTGTCCAGTTCGCTCTGGGTACCCATAGTCGTTTTCAAAATGTTTGTGCCTTCGGCGAATATTTGATAACGGTACTCGGTCAAAGCTGACTTGCAGCTAAATCTCGTCTGCATGGAGAAGGTGGGAAAGTGTCCATGCGGTGCTTCTATACAAAATCTGTCACAACTGCGGTGGTACGAGCCAGTCAGTTGTCCTGGGTTCGATAACAAATACCGGTTCCGGTGTGTAGATAGATGGGTTCGATAGTGTTCTGCAATTTTCAAATCCCTGTGACATTCTCATTTAAAAGTCTCTGTTTATTTGGTAATGAACTGTTTCAACCAAATTTGTTTTCAACATATTATTAACATTAAAAAAAAAAACCTGAATTTAATCCGCATGGATTCAGTAGTTTTCTTCTAAGAGGGTTCGAGTTTTAAAGAAGCGGCTCTTTGCTTTTTTCCAAAAATGGTTACATTTTTTAGTTTTAAACTGAGAACTGCGCTTGCATTTTATCGGTTCTCGTAAATGAGGCAAACATAATTCGACTTTTTTTATATAAAAAAAAAATCATCTTCCAGTGTATTTTCAATACATTAACAATTAAATTTGTTTACTTCTATCTATTCTAGAAACTGTTGCGTAAGTCATTATATTGCTCATAAATTTCCGTATAGGCAGTTTCTAAAAAGTGGCAATATAATTGGAGCAAAGGTCATCGACCTAATAAACGAGACCTACTTACATTGCGAAGAACTACGATTTAGTTATTTGTTTTTTTTATGGTGAGATGCATTTCGTTTACGCTTTTATACCTAATATTTTGGGTAGCGATAGCAATTTTGGAACGAATCTTTTCTTTAGAAATGACATCGCAGTTTGCATCAATAGCCTTCAAAAAATCCACAATGGTGGATCCCAATCTGTCTTAAAGGTGAATCTTTGAAACAAAATATCTTTTATGAAAATAAATATGAAGAATACAAATAGGAAATACGCGGTATGGAATTTTTTTAAAGTGACAACAGTAAAGCTACCGTTATTTTTTTTTTTTTTTATAGTTTGTAAGGTGGTCCGTGCAATCTTGTGCTGTGTGAGCCGTCTAGCAACATTTCTCCCTACAGCCATGCAGTGGTGAAGCAACATTCCAAACAACCCGTATTATTGCAGAGGTGAGGGTGGAGAACCAGGGCAGGTGTAGGCACAGAAGTACAAAATTCTAATAAAACACCTTTTTTTTTCACGGGCAGAATTGTAAAGTTGATCATAACAGCTGAAATGAGATGCGTCAGACCTTTTTTATGACGCACAAAACTTTGTAGAATACCGTGATGATTTTGTACTCGCATGAGACGAGAAAGAAATAATCGTGAGAAAAATTAAGACAGATATGTGACATAAACATGATATTAAAAGTCGATATTAAACAGATCCCAAACCTCATGGCTGTATTTGTATTATCCCATAAAGAATACCACGTGACATTTAATTTGATAGGGTGTTTGCAGTGTGGTTGAATTATGTGTGGTAAGAAATGAATTTTGAATAAATCTTTTTATTTCATTTTTATTTTATTTATATATCATTAAATGTAGTTTTTATTATTATTATTATATGATTATGATTATGATTATTATTATTATTATTATTATTATTATTATTATTATTATTATTATTATTATTATTATTATTATTATTATTATATCATGGTCTAATATTTATATAATATATGGTGTTTACTGCATTCCATGGGACATTTGATTTTATATGGTTTTTATAGTATACAGTCGAACATTTGGTTTTATATGGTGTTTACTGCATACCATGGGACATTTGATTTGATATGGTGTTTGCAGCATATCATTATAAATTTGATTTTATATGGTGTTTACAGAATACCATTAAACGTTTGATTTTATATGGTGTTTACAGCATACCATGGGACATTTGATTTGATATGTTTACAGCATACCATAGGACATTTCAGTTTATATGGTGTTTACAGCATACCATGGACATTTCATTTTATAAGGTGTTTACAGCATTCCATGGGACAATTCATTTTATATGGTGTTTACAGCATACCATGGGACAATTCATTTTATTTGGTGTTTACAGCATACCATGGGACAATTCATTTTATATGGTGTTTACAGCATACCATGGGACATTTCATTTTATATGGTGTTTACTGCCTATCATGGAACATTTGTCTCGTATCGCAAGAAGAATGTTATGGAGCATTGAATTAGATTTGGTGTTTTACAACAGAAGATTAAAAGCTGGCTATTTAGTTCTGATGAATATTGAACACTTTGCCTTGCCCAAGGACACTTTACAGTCGCCACATTGGGTTTATCCGATGGTTATATTCGAACCTGTTGTTGTTGTTGTTGTTGTGGGGTTTAACGCCATTTTTCAGCACAGGAAAGGCTATACATGGCGGCCAGTATTAATGGTGGAGGAAAAAACCGGGAATTCACCGGAAAGAACCACCGACCCACGAGAAGCTACTGGCAAGCTCTCTCACATATCCACATTCGCCGAATCTTAGACTCGAACCCACGCAGATAGAGGTGAACCTGAACCTTTTGGTCGCAAGTCCCACACACATACCACTGAGCCACCGTGACTCCTTGAGCGTGGGATCTTGCTTATCTTTAATAAAGCAAACTGAATCATCATGGAAAATGCATGTCTTCTACCATAAGAAATTAGCAACATTGATTCTTTGTGCTGGCATGACCCGCAAATGACTAAAAAAAATCACTCTTTCGATTAGAAAGGTTTGAACACAAAGTTCTGGTGCTGCTACTGACCTTTAGGGAACTATGATCCATAAATTTAAAGTTCAGATTTGAAACAAAAATTGATTTGTTAAATCTTTACATCTATTTTTTTAAAGCGAAAATGGTGTGTATGTAGGGGGAGGGAGTAAACATATTCTTAAATGCTGAAAACTCGATTTGATTGAGCATTTGTCATTATCAATGAAATAAACAAGCAATCAATTACAATTGATTTGACTTTCGAAATTAAGTTCTGCACAATCTTACAGCTGTTGAAGGCTTCGGGCCATTTAATAAAAAGTCCCGGTTTTGTTAAGACGTACTGTGCACAAATTAATCGATTATTAATTGATCATCTCTCTGTCAATTCAGATGATCGATCACGGCATTTCGTCCAAGTCCCAACACTGCTTCCACTGTACTCTAACCCTTCTATAATTGATGATGTGTCACGTGACAGTTTTTGAGACCCAGAGTTTCTTGGTTTTTTTATCAGAGGCGGAAAACAGGGACAGTTATATATATATATATATATATATATATATATATATATATATATATATATATATATATATATATATATATATATATATATATATAGGAAAGAAAACGTAGCTAATATTTTAATAAAATTAAGTTAAGACGCATTTTAGGGAAGACCATATTTTGTTTTTAGAAACTTATGCAACAAACACCAATACTGTGGGAAACAGAGAAGGCATACACTTCCTAATATGCCCTCGCTTTAAAAAAAAAAAACATCCACAAATGGTAGTAACATTACATTGTGTAAACAAAGCTTACGAATGAAAAATCTTTAGAAAGTAATGAGTAATGTCAAATTTCAGTGAAACAGCTATTAATATTTTTTCAAGAGATGTCAATGAAATTTCTCTTGTGATTCTTATTTAGATTTTGTCTTTTAAAAAAAATTGAAATAAACATCCATCTTTGGCAGTGGATTAGCGTTAACGTTCCAGAATCGCGACAGAAATGGTGGGGTTTCCTATAGCATGACGTGTTACCCCTATTACCACAGTAGTAAATAACACATACTTTTGCGATGCTGTAAATCAAACCAAACTATCATTGACAAACTATGGGCTTCGTCAAGCAAACACTCATTACCTAAAATCAGAAAGC